AAGAGTGACAGATCATGACTGCTGCCTTCCTGAGAAGGAGAACATGGAGCGAGCAGGCTGGGTGCCTGGTTATCAGGATCTTGTGCCCCATCAGTTGTCCCCAGTGATGAGACAGGTCTGTATGTGCTGGCACAGATGAGCCAGGACACAGAAGAGATGCGCAGCCTTCTGTCACAGCAGCTGGGAGTCTGACACCTAAAATAGTGCTAGAAACCCTGGTTTAGGCAACTGAACCCTATACAGGCTGCCTTCGGAAGCTTCCTGAAATAATATGCAGGTAAATGTGCCATGGAGGAGTTGAAGATGAAAGGCTTCTTGCTGTTGGGGGGAAGGAAAAACCCACCAGCAAAGACCAGCAGTGCCAATTGAAGGTGGGTGCTTTAAATGGCTGCACTGAAAGAAACCAAAAGGGTTTTAGGCAGCAATGAAACTGCTCTGAACAGATCTTGAATAAGACGGATCTACTGGTGATGAATTAGCCACAGTCTTTGCTCCTTTCCCCTGAATTGGAGGGAAAATGTCACTTCAGTCACAACACAGGTCGCAGCTGTAACATGCCTCTCCCTTCAGTGCTGACACATGGCTCCCTGCTGTTGGGTGGCATTGGTTACTGTGCTGAGATAAACTCTCCGTATCTTTGACAAGCGGCATTATTTCTTGGGTGCCTTTGCAGTACAGGTATGTCTGCTTTGCCTCCTCTGTCAATGTCCAAGTAGACATCACTAGCAGAGCACCTCTGTGGCAGTCCTCGTGGCATCCATCTCTTCTCTCAGGGTATCCATGCAGGACATCATCTCCCTTCCCCATTTTAATCTGGCACTTGAGCAACATGGGAAGAGTCGGCGTGAGATATTCACTGCAGTCCTGGAGCCAAGACATCCCCAGAACACCTGCAAACTTAATGAGCCTTTCAAAACATCTAAAACAATTATTTTTTTATTTTTTTTTTTTCCCCAGGAAACAAAGTACCAACCTTTTTCTTTAGTAAAAGAAACTTAGCAGTGCTTGTTTAACATGAGCTTAGATGTGGGCATGCTTCCAGGCTGGGTGGGTGTTGTTTACTTCATGGGAATCTTTCTGGTTTTTTTTTAAACTTACTTCCTCTGGATTCTGGGAGGTGTTCATCTGCTTTTTGAGCTCATAAGGGCACGTGAATGTGGAATATCTCACTGAAACAGCCTGCTCCCTTAGTGAAGCAAGCTTACATTTTGAAAATTGTGTGGTGGAGACTCAACTGGGGCAGTTCCTACAGGAGAGCTGTTGCAGAGCAAAGGACCTCTGCAGTTGTGGTTTAGGTATCTTACTGCTTCTCTAGTTCCATAGTGGTATAAATGTTTGAGAAGATCTTGGCAGCTTCACTTACCTTCCAGATCTCAGATCCAGCAGACTGAGGTGTGTCACTCCAAACCATTTTTGGCCCTCAGCTCAGGGAGAGAGGGGTTGTGTTTCTGTTTGCTTCTTTGTGGCTAGGGAGGAGTCAACTGGGGAAGCAGTCCGTAGCTGTGGCTGAAATCCAGTATGGGAGAACTCTTGCTCTCCTGCTGGGTGCTGAAGGCTGATGGAGAGTGGTGAGTTAAAGCTGCCAGAAAGGTGGAGCTAAGAGTCTCAACTCCAATCATCCAGGTAAGATAATCACCTTTGATTTAAATCAGCTTTAAGAATGGTTCAGATGAGTACAAATGGCTCTGGAAGCTTGTTGAATCTAGGAAGCCCAGTTGTCCTTACAGGAAGTTTCACAGAAATGCTGAAGTACCCATGGGACTGAAGTGCTTAGGTGCTTTTGGACCTCCCGCAGAAAGCCTGTCTAGACCTTTAGGCATTTTAATATCTTTGGCAGTCTGCCCATCGCTTTTTCTGTTTTACCTCTTTAACTTGAATTTGTCAAAAATAATCACCTGGGCTGGCACCTACTGAAGCACTAGTTCTTCCATGTTGACCTTACTGAGTTTTTCTCCAAGAAGGCAAAAATAGGTGAAGCAAAGAGAGTGAGGGCAGAAAGAAGGAATGTCTTCAGGCACAATGGTTATCAAGCATTTGAACAGGCTGCCCAGGGAAGTGGTGGAGTTCCCATCCCTGGAGGTATTTGAAGGACCAGTAGATGTGGTGTTTAGAGACATGGTTTAGTGGTGATAGAGACAGTGTGCTGGGTTAATGGTTGGACTCAATGATCTTAAAGGTCTTTTCCAACCAAAATGATTCTATGATTCTGATTCAATGAGTCCTTCCACATACTCATGCTGTGTGAAAGTCCCGAGGGTTATTCTGTTAGTAAAACACTAGAACGAGCGTTCAGGAGGAATAATGCCAAAGCCTATATCAGTACTGCTTGAGCTATTCCTTATGAGAGAAGTCTCTTTTTACATCACCTACTTTTTTTTTTTTCTTTCCCTGCAGAAGCAGCTTACAGCTAAAAAATATCCATCCTCAAGAATTCTCTTATAAACCTGTTTGAAATGAGGCCTTTTCCAAAGTATGAATTAGTTGTTTTTTTTGTTTTTTTTTATTCTACTGTGGTTTCCACTGTTTCGTGGGGCAAAAGTAAAACAGTGAAGACATTAATTAAAATTCTAAAACCTTTCCCTGACCTTTGTCCAAGAGGAATAAAGCTAGACAAGAGCAATTCTCTCCATCCTACTGCCTCCTTAGGCAGCAACATCCTTCCCATTCAGGTCTGAATCCTCCCTCTCACACAGCAAACGCCTGGGATGGGCACTTGCAATTAGCGTGGATGTAGTGGCTCATATTTCATAGATTGCATTGTCTGAAAAAGATGCCTTCAGAACACCTGTGGGCTTAATGAGCCTTGCAGAGTGGGAATCATACAGATGAGGAGTGTGTGTATATCAATGAATTTTAAGAAGATGAATTAGATAAGGCCTCCGAAAGACCACTCAGATCATCTGTCCTCGCATTAAACAGGTTTGATTCCTGCAGTGGGAATGCCAATATTTTTTTCTTTAAAAAGTGCTGGTTTGAGCCTGAGATTTGAAGAAAACATGGGATTATATTTACTGCTGTCTGTTCTTAGACTCTTCTCTGTGTCATTTAACAGCACCCAGAAGAGACAAATCTTGCCTTGGTTAAACAACCTTTTACCCAATTTGAACATCATATTTTCTTTAGTGAAAGGAAAAAAAATTATCTTTTTTATAATCTCTGCAGGGTGTTTTGTTTTTTGTAAATCATGTTAGGAAAAAAAAACCAAAAGCACTTGATTTTAAACCTATGCTTATTGCTTTATTGCTGGGCTATTCAGGAGTAGCTTATTATCATTACTTATACAGTACCACAGAGATATTGGTGCTTTATGGACTTAAAAAGGGGTCTGCTAATGGTTCTTTGAGGCTGTGAGATGCTTGTTCTTTATGGGCACCAGCTCTTCTGCTTCTTCTGTGCCCATTACAACATGGGAGGCAAGAACAAGTATTTTTAGTTCCCAGCTACACAAGAATGTGGAAGAATCTAATGGAGTTTAAAGACAGCAGGCTTAAAACTGATAATGGACAATAAATGCCTTCTCAGAAGTGAGGAGATGGCTCCACGACAGCAGTGAAACCAAGTACGTGTATCAAGAGATATCTGGAGAAATTGTAATTAATTCTGATGACCTTCAGGAAAGAGCTACTTGTTCTTTGAGTAGTTGTTAAACAGTAGAGAATGGAATGAGATTTACTGGATGGATCAGACTACCCCAGATCTCACTGTTTAACTTGAATGAAGCATTTTGTGCTAGCTACTGTGGAGGGCGAGAGCGGTGGTCTCGCTGGGCTTCAGCAAGAAA